CAGCGCCGGCACCTGCAGGAGATGACCAAGATGGCCAGCCGCCCATTCGCCAAGGTCACTGTCTGCTTCCCGCCCGACCCGACTGCCATGGCCCCTGCCTGGAAGCCAGCCGGGCTCCCACCGCCTGCCTTCCGCCGCTCTGAGACCTTCCTGGCCCCCCTGCTGCTGACGGGGGCTGGGGGACCATGGGGACCTGTGGGAGGGACCTGCTGTCCTCCGGCCATCCCTGCCTCCCCAGCTGGCCTACGGGCTGGGCCCATCACCCTGGAGCCCACAGAAGATGGCATGGCTGGGGTGGCCACACTGCTGTTGCAGCTGCCCGGGGGTCCCCATGCCCCCAACGGTGCCTGCCTGGGCTCAGCTCTCGTCACACTGCGGCACCGGCTGCATGAGTACTGTGGGGGCGGTGGGGCTGCTGGGGGCAGTGGGCATGGGGCTGGTGCAGGCCGGAAGGGACTGTTGAGTCAGGACAACCTCACCAGCATGTCCCTCTGACCCGCCAAGGGCCACAAGAGCCACATCCTCTTCAGGGGCCACTCTGGACTTGGGGCCCCTGGACACCACTGCCTCTTCAGACATCACTGACTCCCTTCCTCCCTAGGGAGGACTCCCCAATTCTGCATCCAACAACTATTTATTGAGCACCTACTATGTGCAGGGCAAGCTGGGAGCCAAAGGGCGCAGCTCCCTGATCTGGTTCTCGGGTCCTGGTGAAGGGAGGCAGGCAGCACCTGCAGATGCACGCACAGGCAAGGTGCTTCCCGAGGGGCCTCCACAGGATGTGACGGTGAGGGCCCACGGCATGAAGCCCCCCTGGACGGAAATCCTGAGGTGCAAGACAGAGGAAGAACTGTGCGAATGTGCTCACTGTGGCAGGAGGAACAGGGTGTGAAGGCTGAGGCGGGAGCGGGAGATGGACCAGGAAGCAAGCCCGTGCGCCCCCTTGGGGCTGAGTGAGGAGATGAAGTCCGGGCCAGGCGGGAGCTGCGCTTGTGGGGCGTGGGTTTTTAACTCTCAGGGCAGCTGCTGCGCTGTTGGTTCTGTGAGGAGGATCTCAGAGGTCAGTCAGCTGAGGCGTGTCGCGCGGATTGGAAGGGGCAGGTTGCGCGGCTGTGGTGGTCGTGAGGGCAGGGGGGTTACTGCAGCTGTGTGCTGACAGAGTTTGTGATGGTGTCGGGGTGGGGGAAAAGCCATGGATCCGGAATGTCCCCGAGCTCTGGGGCCTGAAGCACAGCATGGGTGTGGGGTTGAGGAAGAGGAGGCAGAGAGGCCAGGAGGCAGCTGTTGACTGTGCGGTACCCTTCAGGGAAGGGAAACCACCGTGAGTACTTCGGCCCAAGAGGAGGCATGTGGGACCCCCATCTGAGCCACCTCCTTGGATTTCTCAGCTTCTCTATCTGCGGGGGACCCCTGCTTCCAAATCTTGCCCAACACTCCACCTCCTGCTGCTGTTCAGTCCCTGTGGGTGTTTGGGTCGGGAAAGGGGTAACAGTGTTGGGCCCGCCACTTCCCCTCCCTGGAGTCCCAGTGGCCTCCCAGTGCGCATGTCTGAGGCAACAGGGGCCGCATTGGAAGGGGTGGGAGTGGCTGAACCCCAAAATAAAAGTGTGGGGAGGACCCAGGTGTGAGTGCCATTTTCTTGGGGCTGGCAGAGTGGGGGAGGCATAGGGCAGCCCCTGCTGCTCCAAGCTTTGTGGCCTGGGCATAGCTGGCTTCTGAGTGGGGGATTACATGTACTCTGACAAACCCTTGCTCCCCAGGATGCGATGAGCTGAGGAGAGGCTGTGGGCATGAGGCCTGTGGCCCCTCCCCAGCCCCTGTTTGGTGAGTCTAGGCAAGTTGTAGACAATCTAGCTAGCTAGTCTCATGTCTTATGTCTCAAGGCTTGGGGCTGTCCTCAACTGCCTTCCCAGGCCACAAGCAGGGAGCTGGATGGGAAGTGGAGCCATCAGGGTATGAACCAACACCCATATGGGATCCCAGTGTGTGTAGGGGAGAATTTTAGCCGCTAGGCTACCATGTTAGGACTGAAAAGGAAGACTTTAAGTACACATTTATTTTAAGTGCATTTATTTAATTTTGAAGGGTATGAGGTCTTTGATCTGTTAGTTCACTCCCCAGATGAGCACAGCAGCTGGACCTTGTCCAGCCAAAGCCAGGGGCCAGGACCCATTTGAGTCTCCCACAAGGGCAGCAGGGACTCAAGTACTAAGACATTATCTGCTACTTTCCAGGCACATTGGCAGGCAGTAGAATCTAGTAGCTGGGACACGAACTTGGGCATTCCAAGGGACATGTTGTGCCACAAAACCATCTCCAAACCAAATTCTAAAAACTTCCAAAGAGACACAGAAAGAGGCCAACAGAGATCTTCCATTTGCTGGCTCCCACTGCATGCCTGCAATAGCTAGGGCTGGGCCAGGCCAAAGCCAGGAGCCAGGAACTCCATCCAGATTTCTCATGTGGGTGATAGGGACCCAATGACTTGAGTCACCCCTGCCCCCTCCTGGGCTGTGCATCAGCAGGTAGCTAGACTTGGAAGCAGAGCCAGGACTTAGGTACGCCGGTATGGGATGTCAGCCTCCCCAGTGGCACTTTTGGGATGGTGCCATGGGGATCCTGAGTGCAGGAGAGAGGTGGTCTGAGGCATTTCCCTGTTGTGAAGGGACCAAGAAGTGCAGGGGGCAGGGTGTGTAATTGGAGCCACCATGTTCCATTTGGCTGAAGTTCAGGGGGTGATGGGACTGAATGCAGGCCAGCAGAGTGGGGAGACATACAAGAATCTGGATGTCTTCTGTTGGCAACATGCGCAGTGGTGAGAGAGGAAGTGTGTGAGCACCTGGCCGCATGACACCGGCTACGGCTGGGACAGGTCCCATTTGGGGTGGCTCTCAGATATTCCCAGTGGAGGTGTTAAAGTGCTGGATATGGGGTTCAGAGACAAAGGGCATGTGAGAGGAGTAACAGCAACTAGTAGCAGCTGCCTATTACTTAGGTGGTTGTATTACACATAATATGAGGGTATAACACTACAGGATGGTGGACAGTAGGATTTATGAGTTTAGTGATGGGCATTTAGCCCAGCAACGAAGACACCCACATCTGAGTAGTTGGCTTTGGTTCCGACCCTGGCTCCTGATACCAGCTCCTGCTAGTGTAGACCCCGGGAGGCGGCACTGATGGATCAGTTGGGTCACCCACGTGAGAGACCTGGGCTACATTCCTGGCTCATGACCTGCCCAACCCCAGTCAGTTCTTACAGTCATTTAGGGGATGAGCCAGCAGATAGGGACTCTCTCTATTCCTCTACCTCTCAACATTTTTTAAATAAAGATTTACTTATTTTTATTGGAAAGGCAGATTTACAAAGAGAAGGAGATACTGACAGAAAGATCTTCTGTCTGCTGGTTCATTTCCCCCAAGTGGCCACAATTACCAGGAACTTCTGGGTCTTTCACATGGGTTTAGGGTCCCAAGGTTTTGGGCCATCCTTTACTGCTCTCCCAGGCCACAGGCAGGGAGCTGGACGGAAAGTGGAAGAACTGGGATTAGAACCAGCACCCATATGGGATCCTGGCGCATGCAAGGAGAGGACTTTACCCATTTGGCTACTGCACCAGGGCCCTACCTCTCAAATTTTTAAAGCATAAGCTAATTTTGATGCAAAAAAATCACATTTAAATACATACATAGGTTTTCGTAATGTGTTATTTTCTTACATATTGAGAAAAGAGTTTTGCACAAAAACATTTTTAAAAAGATGATTTTTAAAAAGTTGACTTGAAAGGGAGAAGACAGAGAAATCTTCCTTTTGCCAGTTCACTCCTCAAATTGCCCGTAACAGCTGGCTCTGAGCCAGGCCAAAGCCAGGAGCCCCAGAACTGGATTGAGGTTCCCTATGATGAGTGGCAGGGACTCCAACCAGCACCCCAATATGGGACGTGGGCATTTCAAGCAGTGGCTGAATGCGCTGTGCTGGAGCACCTGACTCACAGCACTTTTTTTCCTCCACCAAAATAAACTCATACTCTTTTTTAAAAAAATATTTAATTATTTTTATTGGAAAGGCAGATACACAGAGAAGAGAGGAGACAGAGAGGAATATCTTCTGCCCAATGGTTCACTCCTCAGTCAGTCGCAAGAGTTGGAGCTGAGCCAATATGAATCCAGAAGCCAGGAGCCTTTTCTGGGTCTCCCACGCGGGTGCAGGGTCCCAAGGCTTTGGGCCGTCCTCGACTGCCTTCCCAGGCCGCAGGCAGGGAGCTGGGGAAGTGGGGCCACCGGGATTAGAACGGGCACTTAAATGGGATCCTAGCGTGTGCAAGGCGATGATTTTAGTCACTGGACTACCGTGTCGAGTCCAAAAGACCACAGTTTAATTGAATTCTTACTCTGCTGCAGTTTCAGAGGAGAAAAGGGGTTCAGAAAGGTTAGTGAGGTCATTAAGATGACACAGCTAGTGACTGTCAAGGTTAGGGTCATGGCAGCAACTGCCACCATGGAGAGGTGTGGCTGATCAGAGTGACCAGAGGACCTTCGGCTGGGCACTTCTCTGTCTGGTAGACAGATGTCCACCACACCTGTTTCGGGCTGTGTGCAAGCCCAGGGTCCCTCCAGGCACAGGCAGGGAAGGCTCAGCCTCCGGCTCGCCGTTGTTGCTTGGGTGAGGCCCATGCACCTGCAGGTTAGTCGCTCTCTCCGGGAGGCGAGGCCCCACTAGACTAGGAGAGGGATTTGCTGAAGTCACACCCAACCAAACCGGGTCACAGGTCCCATTGCAGAGCTCCTTCATCCACAGCTAGGCGGCTCCTGGGTGTCCCCACTTCCCTCCTCAAACCTCCTTCTCCACCCAGATTCCTTTCATGCGACAGAAAGAAAGGTATAGGCGGGGTTGGTTTTCAAGTTTTTATTGTGGGTGTATTTCTGGCGGTCGGGCAGAATCCCTCCTCTCCCCCGCCAGGAGGGGTCAGAGGATACCGGGCAGAAAAGTAGATAAGAAGGGGCAGAGGTGGTGATGGGGTTGGAGTGGGGTAGGGGATTCTTCACTCTCGGATCTTCAGTTCCCGCGCCATCTGACAGAGGGCGCAGGGCAGACAAAAGGTGAGGGCCGCCCAGTCGCGCCCGACGGAGCCCTGGAGGGTAGAAGAGCGACTTCAGACGCCGGCCTTGGGACCCAACCACTCCCTCGTCCCTAGCTCCCACCCGCACGCACCTGGATGCGGTAGCGCTCGCGCATGCCCGTGCGCAGCGAGTGCAGGCCCCCGGGCAGGTAGGGCGCGCAGCAGCACTCGCCGAAGTCATCCGAGATGCGGCAGGCCAGGCATAGGGGCGCGAAGGTGCCGCACAGACCTGCGGAGGACACGGGGCAGTCAGGGTCGGGCTGGCAGCGGCAGCAGAGGGAGCGAAGAGGTGGGAGAGAGGGTTTGAAAGTGGGCGGGGCCTTGGAGATCAGTTGAGGGTCTGAGGAAGGTGTTAAGTTCAGGCCCCCAGGGAGAAATGGTATCGCTGGGGGAGAGGGTACGGGGTCCCCTTCCACACTCACAGACGGGCATGTCGTTGCAGCAGTCCGTGAGCCCTGTGTGCCAGTCACTGAGCTGGGTCTGGTAGCAGCTGCTGGCACACTGCGGCTGGCTGGTCACTGGGTAAGACATGGCTGCAGAGGAGAAGACAGTGGTCAGTGGGCATCCTTGCGGAACTCCCTGCCTCCCTCCCCTCTGCCGGGCAGTCTGGGCAGGGCCACCAGGCCGCCCGCAGATAGATAGGACAGCCCTGTGCTTCCTGCTGCCACATCTGGGCACTGACACCAGGTCTGTCCCTCTTGCCGTGTCCTCCTTGCCCATCTGGTTGAGTTGGGGGCAGGAGGAAGGGTGGGTAGCGTGTTTGAGTGAGGCGATGGACGTGCCGCCGCCTCCTCCTCCACGTCTGGACCTGGGGTGCTGGGTTCTGGCCTCTGGGGTAGAAGCAGGTGCCGTCTGTCTCTGAAGCCAGGGTGCCCAGGGGAGGGAGGCAGCCGGGTTGCTGGTACTGGGAGGAGGTGCCGGTCCATCTGGCAATCCCACCTTTGCCTTTCACGTTGTCGTGCATCTCATACTGCATCTTGCTGGCCCTGAGGAGGAGGCGGCGTTGCAAACGGACAGACGGTGGGAGGCAGCTGTGGCAACAGCAGTGGAGTCTGTCTTGGAGTGGGGCGTCGCCGGATGGTGGGGTGGGGAGGGCAGGGAACAAGGGTGCTGGGGAACTGGGTTCTCAAGGGGAGGGGAGCTGGGGAGAAAGAGGCTAAGTCAGCCTGTGGCTGAGAGAGACCCAGACAAGGGATGGACAGGGTGGGGCGAGGCACTCGCCCACGTCTTGACGCTGCCCGACAGACCCCAGAGACCCCTCCTTGTCCCAGGCACAGTGCTAGGCAGAGAGGCAGAGCCAGAGGCAAGAGGGGACAGAGAATCTGAGCAGGGGCATGTGTGTGTGGGTGGGGCACCATACCTGCCCCACACACCTGCCAGCCTGCTGCCCAGTGAAGGTGAAGGGAAAGGCCCTGCACTCGCTGCTGATGGCCTGAGCCAAGGGCAGCTAAGGCCAGAGATGCCAGGCCGAGGACTTACAAGCTCGACTGACCCAGCCCTGACTCAGGGGCCTGAGAAAGGCAGGTGTTCACACAGAGAGATAGAGACAAGAAAAGCGAGGAGGGGAGAGCATAAGCAGGGCTTGGGGAAGCAGAGCGCTCCTACCTGTGATGGCGCTGATGGAGACAGGTGTGGGTGACACGAGCGGGCACTGAGTTCTCAGCCTAGGTCCAGGAGCCACTTATATGGGCCGGGTCACCTAGCCTGGGTGGGGCTGTGACAGAGGTGCCCAGGAAGCCTGGCCGGTCTGTCTCACCCTCTGCCCTCCACTGGGGCTTCCCACCCACCCGCTCCCTTCCCCATCCCCTCCCTTCTCCACTTCCCTTCCAGGGACCTAGGGTATAGGGGTGGGGTAGGGGAGACACAGAAGTGGACAGAGAGATGGGAGGGGGTGGGAAATAGACAAAGGAGATACAGCAAAGGTAAGAGGGGAGAGATGTGGGGAGAAGTAACAAGAAAGGCCAGAGGCAGGGGTTCAGAAAGATGGGATGGTGGAGGGACCATAGCACTGGCTGAAGGGGAAGAGGGGCAGAGGGCAGGAACGGGTGGGTGTGAGAGGAAAGGGGGCCTCCCTCTGAGGGTACCTCATAGTTGGTCCTTGGGGGACAGTGTCCTCTCACTTGGGGCCAGGGGACACAGGAAACATGTTGGGGAGTAATTCACTCTGAAACCTGAGGCGGTCGACACCTTACTGCACCCTTGCTACACCGCACCCGCAAACTGGGAAGGGAGGAGGCTGGGATGGGAAAGCCTGAAGGTGTTGGATGTGGCTCGGGTCACAGCCCGGGTCCCAGCACAGCAGAGGACAGGGTGTGTGTGTGCGTGTGTGTTTGGGGTGGATTCTTGGGTCTGGCCCTGGTCCAGGCTGCACATCCCTGAGCAGGGTAGGGCTCTCGGGGATGAGGGAGTGGGGGGGGCCTGGATGCCTCAGTCACCAGTCTCCCCTCAACAGGCCCAACAGGCTTGGAGGTGACTCAATGGGGGAAACAGCAGCGTTAGAACTGGGTGGGGTTCCCAGCATTGGTGTTACCCCAAAAATGTAGGAGGCACCAGAAAAGTTAGGGTGTCACCTGCAGAGAAGCTGGCACCATCACTCCATGGGGAATAGGGTATGGGGTGATGGCAAGCAGGTCTCTGGTCCCTCCCTGCCATGCCCCATATACCAGGACCACTGGGTGGCCGCTGTCCTCAGAGCGGCAGGTAGGGCTCGTTGCCTCCCTGTGCATTTGTGTCTCTTGGCCCGGGAGGGGGCTGAGCCCCTGGGGGTTCCTGAGTCTTCTCCCTCATGGGCTCCGACATCCCTGTCTCCCCTTCTTTATACCTTCATCCCTCCAGTTGCAAACCTTCCTGTTTCTCTTCATCCCTGTTTTCCACATCCCTGAATCTGCTCCCAGGCTCCTGATCTCAGGGGCTCCCTCATATCTCCCTGGCTCCAGCCTGGAGGATACGCCTTCCTGCATCCTAACCCGGGGCTCTGGTGTCCCAGGGCCACCAGATGGAATGGTCCTCAGTTTCGTCTCTTCTTCCTGGCATGGCAGAGGGGTCTGATGACATAGGGACAGAGAAAGAGAGAGAGAGAGAGAGAGAGAGAGAGAGAGAGAGAGAGAGAGAGAGAAAAGATGAGGAAACAGAGACTTAGAACTGGGAGGTGGCCTGCTCATGGGCTGGGTTGGGAGAAGGAGTGACTGTGGCCTGGTTACCCAGCATCTATGTCCACCCCTCTCATATGGAATTGCCAGATAGAATATGGGACATCTGGTTCCATTTTCACTTCACATAAGCCACGAAGTCTTCTGCAATTATTTGGGATGTACTTAAGAGCAAGCAGACAAAGAAAACCCACACTGCTGTGTCTCTGAAATTTAAGGCGTACAGGGTTCCCTGTGTTTCCATTTGCTGAGCCTGGAATCCCTCTGTCCCCAGAGCCCAGCCCTCCCTCCTGTGGGCTTGCGGCCAGGTCCCAATCCCCACCCCGCTCCCCAAACACTGACTCCTTGCAGGGTGCCCAGTCTTTTCTTTCCAGCATCAGGCATCCGTGTCGGGTCTGAATCCAGTTGCCTAATGCGGCTTTCACAAGGCACGTTGTGCCATCCAGGGCCCCGGTGGAACCGGTCGGGCTGAGCTCCCATCCTAAACCTGCTCATTTCCTTGAAGGCCAGCCTAGTCAGTGGCGCTTGACAGCAGAACCGGAGGGACCTGAGGAGTTCTGGGTGTGTCGCCGTGGCTGGGTTGGGGGTGGCCACGACATGCCCCTGAGCCGTGACATTGGAGGGGCTCTCCTATGTCCGTGTCTGGTGTCAAGCTCCTTCAAGTCTGCACACTCCGTGCCTGTGGCCGGCTTTGTGCTCTTGTTCTGCTCACGTCATTCTGATTGGGTGAGGCAGTAGCAATTCTTTACTCAGGGATGCTGCAGCCAGAAAGCCCGGGTTGCGATGGGGACTGGCTTTCGCTGGCTGTGAAACCCCAGGCATGTGGTCTAACGCTGGAGCTCTATTTTCCCCTGAGTAGACACTGGGTCGTTAAGAGGAAGAGACAGGTCATTTGTGGGAAGTGCATAGATCTGTGCCTGGCACATAGGGACCCTTTTCCTAGGGTGATGATGATGAGGGCATGTTCTGATTCCTGGGGAGACAACTGTAAGTAGAAGCAGTTTTGGGGTGTTTGGTGCTACGGTTAAGATGTCTGAACCCCACATTAGAATGTTTGAATTCGAGTCTGGGTTTGGATTCCAAGCCAGCTCCCTGCTAATGTGCACCCTGGGAGGCAGCAGATGGTTGCTTGAGTGCTTGGGTCCCTGCTGCGCATGTGGGAATTGCAGGTGGAGTTCTGCCTCCAGGCTGTGATCTGGCCTGGCCCTGGCTGTTTACAGGCCTTTGTGGGAAGGAGATCAGAAATCTCTGCCTTTCAATACACAGCAGTATATAAATAAAACTTGGAAAAAAATTCAAAAAGCAGGATCCGGCACGGCAGCCTAGTGGTTAAAGTCCTTGCCTTGCATGTTCCGGGATCCCACGTGGGTGCTGGTTCTAATCCTGACTGCTCCACTTCCTATCCAGCTCCCTGCCTGTGGCTTGGGAAAGCAGAAGAGGACGTCCCAGAGCCTTGGAACCCTGCACCCATGTGGGAAACTCAGAGGAGGCTGCAGGCTCTTGGCTTTGGATTGACTCAGCTCCAATCGTTGTGGCCACTTGGGGAGTAACGCAATGGACAGATCTTTCTCGCTGTATCTCCTTTTCTCTGTATGTCTGCTTTTTCAATAAAAAGAATAAATCTAGCCAGGATTGGCTGCACAGTCTTGGTGGTGGGGAGGCACGGGCGCATAGCTGAGTGTCTGTTTTGCGTTTGGGCTAGGATGCTTCTGGCGTGAGTTGTACGTGTGTGGTTGTGTTTGGGCACATGGGTGAGTGTACAGAGATGCTGTGTATGGGTGATTGTGTGGGTGCAAACGTCACGTCACACCTACAGTGCCTCATGAGGGCACGTGTTGGGAGGCATCTTGCTTCTCTGACTGGGGTGTTAAGAACCCCTCTTTCACCCCAAGGCCACTATTTGACAGGTACCTCTGGGAGCTTGATTCCTTCAAGAATGAACCTTGGTTGCTCTCCTGGAGAAGAGCAGGGATGGTGGGCCCAGTGGCTGAGGAGGAGACACAAGAGTGAAAGGGGTGGGAGGTGAGGAGACGGGTGAGGCCAGGGAGAGACTGAGCAATGTGATGGTGACACACACACAGAGGCAGAGATGGCAGGGTGGGGACCCAGGGAGACTGCACAGGGACACGGCACGTTTGTCCGTCTGTCCCACAAGCACCTGTGCCAAGCCCCTGTTGAGGTGCCAAGTGGGCACCAGTTCAGGGTCTGGGGTCCCCAGGGAGACCCACCTGGCTCCATCCTGAGTGATGGAGAGATAAACAGATGTCAAGGAAGGGCGAGAACTCCCCCAGATCAAAGACGAGAAGCTGGGGATCCCCAGGAACCATTTCCTTATCTCTTCCCATCAGGAAATGACACCCTGCCCCCTCTCCTAACCACTGTTTTGGACCCCAATCAGGCCTGACGCCCACAGCATGAAGGGCTGGACACACTGGCTGGTGTCAGGCAGGGATACAGCTGGGAGTCCCCAGGGCCCGTCCCCTAAACGCCAGGTCCTGGCTTACAGGCCCTGCCCCTCCTCCCTGCCAGGTCCTCTTTTATCTCACCATCTATCTCTAGCTGTGTTTTGTGTCTGTCGCATCTCTTTTATGTCTGCATCTTGCTTCTCCCTCACTGGGCCTCAATTTTTCCACTTGTAAAATGGGGATAATCATAAGAACCCCGCTGCCTGGGAGCTGTGAGATGGGAGATAACTCCGGCCGTGCAGGACCTCGCCGCAGTCAACAGCTCCAGACAGTGTTCCGGTATGATTACGTGTTATCTCGGTATCAGAGTTCCCTCTGGGTCTCACTCAGTCTTCTCCCATTGGAGGCTTGCTTGGAGGACAGCGATGTGGAAGGGTGTGCTGGGGCCAGGGCTTCGCTAAGTCACTGCCCTCACCATTGTTGGGGTGTAGCTCTACCTTGGGACATTGCCCGGGGGCACAACCTGCCGCCCAATTCCACAAACAGCTTCACGAAACTTGAACCCCAAGTCTGTCATCGCTGGCTGGGCAGGGCGGTGACTCTTCGGATCTGGTGTGTGTGTCCCCTCCCAGATTCCCTGGCCCTCCTCTCCCTCAGATCGGAAGCCTGGACCTCCATTCCCTGTTTTCTAGGGTCCTCCTTCTGTCTCTTCCAGCATTATATTCATGTGTCCTCTATCCCTCCCTTTCTCCCTCAGCTCCCCAGGATCTGGCGCGGGTATTGCTTGCTTAGAACCCTGACATCCCAAAACGGAATGCCTGGTTCCAGTCTTGGCCCCTCTGCGCTTCCTCTGCAGCTTCCAGAAAGGCCCGCGGATCAGGCCAGATCCGTGCCATCCAGAAAACTCCATTCGAGGTCCCTCAGCCGTTGTGCAAAACTACCGAGCCCCTCGCGGTCTCTCCGGAGGCGGGCCTGAAGCGCCAGACCCTCACGCAGAGCCTTGCTGTGATAAGCTGGGCATGCCGTCCATCACTGTCAGCCAGCCAATAGACACTCAGCTTCCCCTTCCCTGGCGCGCTGCTGAATGGGCGGGACTCAAAGGCAGACAGTCATAGGCTCGCGGAGATGCCAGTCTCTGCCAGATTCGTGCGGGATTGGCTAAGAGACCCGGAACGTGCGTCTGTAGGGCTGAGGCAGAAGGTGCCCAGGTCCGGCTGGCATTGCTGGGATTCTGGACCCAGCTCGGACGGGACGCGGCGCGGCTTGGTGAGCTTCGCGGCGGCGGGGGTGGCTCAGCCCGGCCGAGCGCATGTTCGCTTTGATAGCCACGAACCACCCGGGCGGGACAGGCGGCCCTCGCGTCCGTCCGTCCATTTCCCCTCGCCCTCGTGCCGGGCTTCGCCTCCGCTGCCTGCCCTGCTCATCCTTTCGTTCCGTCCTTCCTGCCCACGTTCATTCCTCCAGTTTCCTCCAGTAGCCACTGGCTCACGCTCACCCACTCATTCCCGAAACATCTCCTGAGGCTTCCTGCGGTTCGCAGCCCTGCCCTCAGGGAGCCCCAGTCAGAGGCTGGCCAGCTGGGGGAGTCCCTTGGAGGATCAGGAGGTGCCGGGCAGGGATGGAGAGCAGGGGTGTGGGGAGGGCAGGAGCAGCGGGGACTGGCAGGAGGCCAGACACCTCTGAGCGGCTGGAGAGCAGCTGGACGAGGTGGGCAGAGGCCAGGCTAGTGGGGAGCAAGCGAGGGCCAGGTCGGAGCTGGGACTGGACTGGACGTAGCCCAGGGGTGGCTGTGGCAGGGACCCAGGCAGGTGAGGGTGGAGCTGGCAGCCAGGGGCGGAGGCCGAGAGGGTAGGGAGAGGGGGACAGCATGTGGGATGGAGAGGGGGCCGCATCCAAGGGACAGGAAAGGGGAGCAGGGGCTAAGAGGGTGGCAGCGGAGATGGGCAAGGGGTCCTAGGTGGCTGTGACTCCAGCCTGTGACCTGGGCCTGTAGCCCCCTCCCCATAAAGGCTCTGGAAGTCACGGAGTGCTCAGAGCGAGGGGTCCCTGCACCTCCACCCCCTCAGGAGACGCTGCCTCCCTGTTGGCTGTGAAACTTGTCCTGACTAAACACACCCCCTGCCTCAGGGGCCCTTGGATTTGCTCACCCCACTGGCTGAGCCCCTCACCCTCTGCCCCTCGCACTGCCAGGTCCCTGCACCTTCTGTGCACGAGGTCAGCTGCCTCTTGCTGCAGCCTGAAGGTAATTTTTTTTAAGATTTCTTTTTTCTTTTTATTTTATGTTAAGATTTATTTTAATTGGAAAGACAATTATGCAGAGAGGAAGATCTTCCCTCTGTTGAATCACTCCCCAAGTGGCTGCAATGGCTGCAGCTGAGCCGATCAGAAGTCAGGAGCCAGAAGCATCTTCCGGGTCTCCCATGTGGGTGCAAAGTTCCAAGGCTTTGGGCTGTCCTCCAGGGCTTTCCCATGCCACAGGCAGGGAGCTGGATGGGAAGTGGGGCTGCCAGGACATGAACTGACGCCCATGTGGGACCCTGGCATGCAAGGTGAGGACTTTAGCTGCTAGGCTACTGCACTGGGCCCAAGGATAATGTTTCTACCCTCACTCTCAGGCTGATTCTGCCGGGAACCCTTTTGCTTCCTATCCTTTCCCGGTGAGCATCTTCTCTCCCCAGCTGTACTGCGAGGACCTTTCACGACCCACCATCCCCGTTTGCTGGGGCCCTCTCCTCATCCCCCCTGCCCACTTTCCCTGGACACCTCTCAGCCTGTTAGCTGCAGCCGGAAGAGAGAGCTCAACCTGCACTTCCGCTGTCTCCTGCAGGTCCCTCGCCTTTGGTGGCATGTCCAAGACAGCCCTCAGCATCCTGCAGCCTGGCCAGACCCAGGGACCGCCTTTGGCCCCTTGCTTGCCGGTGAGCTTGTCACCACGCAGTGAGCTGTTACGGCTCTAGGATGCTCTGTGCGGCCTCCCTGCCCTCCAGTGTCCTGGCCCTGGCCTCCAAGGCTGCAGTCGTGTCCTTTCAGACCATGCCCTGACGCCCCAGCTTGTTTGTGCAGCCCCCCTGAGCTGACCCCACGCTTTCCCATTGCAAGCACTGCTGTGGCTCCCAGCTGCCCCCAGTGACTGTCCAGTTGGACTGCAGGCCCTTCAGGATCTTCCTCTGATGACTGCCCTTCCTCTTGCCCCATTCCTCACTTTACACATCTGATTGTCTGGCCAGGGTGAAGCCTTGGTCACTGCTCACTGATCTGGCGTGACTTTCCTGCCAGGCAAACTGGTACTCATCCTTTAAGGTCAAGCTCTGGTCACCACCTGTGGAGCCCTCCTCCACTGCTAGGACACATGGAACAGCCTGGGGGCTGTGTGTGTCTCCCACCCCTTGCGGAATCAGGATCTGAAGCCCCTGGAGGCAGGCCCTGGGTATGTCATTTCTACCGTGAGTCCAGGACCTCTGAGGTGCCAGGTTGCAGCTCAGCAGGGCTGGCCTGTGCAGTACCCAGGGTGACCAGTCTTTCTCGTTTCCTGTGAACCTGGCTCTAGGTCTATAGTGTTTGGATCTGTGGGGGCCCTTCCTGTTCAGCAGGTGGTTTTCCCCCAGGGCCAAGAGGACAGTCTGTTTGTAGGGCGTCTGCTTATTCCCCACTCTTTCGCATAGTTCTTGCTTCCAAGTAGCTTGAGTCCGATGCTGCCCCCTGGTGGGCAAACACCCACCCTGTTAAAAAAAGAGGCCAAACTAATTAAATATTTTATTTACAATGGAAACCGATCTGCAGAGGCAGCAGAGGCGGTGGTGGAATGCAGCTCCTGCGGTCTGTGTGGCCAAGCCGGTGTGTGTTCTTCCCCCAGGCCTGGATCTGTTCTCGGCCTCCAACCCTTCCTCCCTCCTCATGACCCCAGACTTAAGGCACAGCCCACCCCTCCCCACCAAGGAGGGGCCTAATGGGCCCGGGGCCCCTTGCAGCCGGTCCCGGAGCACATTCACCATGGAGGCCGGTGCGGGTGGAACACGAGGTCTTTAGTGTGGCCCCTGCCCGTGTCCCCCATCCCCCCACGTGACTCAGAGCGGTGGTGCGGTGGGCACGGACGCAGGTGCGGGTGCAGCTGCGGTGGGCACAGACACAGGTGTGGATGCAGCTGCGCTGGGCTGGCCGAGCACGAGACGGATGCGCTCCACGCACAGCTCTGCGGCCTGGCGTGTCTCGCGGCACAGCGCGGCCAGGCTCAGGAAGCCGTGTGGCAGGTCCTCCACCACGCGCAGTGTCACCGGCTGGCCCAGGCAGCGCAGGCGCCGAGCGAACATGACAGAGTCGTCCAGCATGGGGTCCAGCGCACAGGCCTGCGGGCGGGAAGGAGGAATTGAGCTGGGTTCCCTGGTCTCTGCATGGCTGCTCTTCTCCTTCATCACCCCCAAGTTCTCTTCTGGACTTGCCAGGCCCAGCTTCCCTTGTGCCTTGACCACATGCACAACAAAGTTCCTCCTGCAGCTGCTCCCAGGCCCAGGTCTGTCCTAGACAGCCCCTCCCAGAGCTCTCTTGCCAGATGTGCCCACGCCCACCCCTGGCAGGGGCTCACCACGATGTGCACGGGCGGCAGGGTCCTGAGCATGCTGTCGGGTGCCAGCAGTGGTGACATGAAGGGGTTCTTGACGATGGGTGATGAGTAGAAGGGCATTTGCGTGGGCCCCTGGCTGGAGATCCGCGGGTGGAAGCCTTCCGGGAAGGCAGCCCTGACACCCTGGTCTCTCTTCTTGGGGCTTTGCTCTTCCCTGGCCTCTGCCTCTTGGACTCCATCCTCAGGCCGCAAGAAGAAGTTGACATCAGAGGGTGAGGAGGGGCCCAGCGCCTCTGCTGAGAGCGACATCTCGGGGCTGTTGCTGGTCTCAGAGCTGCTCCTTAGGCTCAAGTCCTTCACCGTCAGGTTCTTGAGGGAGTCTGTGCCCAGCGGGCCCTCGGGCTGGGCCAGGGCTGCGTCGGACACACTGCGGCGCATGGGCTCTGTGGGAGAGGTGTGAGTGAGCCTGGCTCTGCCAGGCCTGTGGGTGGCTGGCAGGGAAGTTCAGTGGCTTGGTTGGTGGTGGTTGGGGGTGGTGGTGGAGTTCCAGTACCCCAGGCTGAGAGTGAAGTGGAGGGAGTTATATGGTGTTCTTGGAGGTGGGACTGTGTCGCAATGGAGGGAGTTGTGTGTGTGCCATGACCAGGAAGATGAAGTACAAGTTAGTTTACCTGTAGGAGCTTCAGTTTTCCCCTCCTGACCAGTGAGATAAAAGTCGTCCTTAGCTCCCAGGTGGGGAGAGCTCTGAGATACCGCTGCCCCTGGGTGCAGCTGCCTCCCAGCCCCGGCGGGAGACCAAGGCTTAAAGCCAGCTGAATCCTGAGCAGAGCCTTGTGGCTTCACAGGTGCTAATAAGGGGTACAGTAGATTCTGTAATAAGGGGTACATCTGGATCTGCTCTCAGAGGGTCTCATTCACCTTTACCTGTTTCCCGTGAGTGCCTGTGGGGTGCGGCCTCTGAGGGCCTCAGCTGCACTGGGGTTTTCAAACTCCTGCTGCTTACTACCAGGGCCACAAGCCTATGATTGCAGGGTTGACTTTTTTTCTCTCACTTGTCTGAAAATACGCAAGGGCAAAATTCTAGACAGTGTTTGAGAGTAAGTATATAAGTGCTCTGAGACCCAGAGGGTCACTGAAGAGAATCAGTGGCACAGGACACAGGGTGCTGGCATCTTCTAAGAGCTGAGTACTTGACACCAGTGGGTGCACGAGTCCTCACAACGATCCAGCAAGGCAACCCAGCAAAATGCTGACTGTACCCATTTCACAGAGGGGCAAACCAAGGCTCACAATATACGCTGCCTGGCCGTGGTCGCCCCATGCCAGTGAGTAGTTGGCAGAGTGAAAAGCCAGATTGGAGAGTGTGTGTGCGGGGGCTGCACCCCAGTACCCAGTGGCCTGTCTGCGTCCAATTTAGCTCCCTTTTAATTGCTTTTTTGTGTCACTGTCTGCATCCATTTGCAGATGCTAAAATTATTAACCTTACATAAAGATCAACGAATTGGAAATTTTTCTGCATGTGCCTCTGAAAAGGCAGTTTCCCTTCCTCAGAGGATGCGGTGTGTTTTTGTCTCTCATCCTGGCTCCTGGGCCGCCCTCCCCATGGGCAGGCGCTCTTGCTGCTTTCCCAGAGTGCAGACCTGTCTGAATGACGCTGTGTGGAGTCAGCTCCTGCCAGTGCTGGGGCTGTTGGGTGACCCAGGCTCCAGGACTCCTGGCATTCCCGTGTGTGGGCTGTCATGGGGAGTGCAGTCTTTGTGCAGGGATCAGGGGTGGATATGAGGCAGAGCCCTCCTGCAGCCTGGGCCTCAGCCCTTTTCCTGCTCTGGGATTCATGCTGTGCCAGGCTGTCCCTCTTGGTTGCCCTGGTGCGGTGTGGAGGAGGCTGTCACATACCTGCCACAGGCGCCGAGCTCTTCTGGGCCTTGCGACCACTCAGCTCCAGGAAGGAGTTGAGCCACGAGGAGGCGCTCATCCGGAGATCTTTGAGCAACAGGGCCGTGTCCCGCCGCATGAGCCCCATCACGCCTAGCGCCTTCTGATCTGAATCGGGCTGCTCCTCCATCTGTCCACCTGTGCAGGGTGTGTGCGGGGCTGGGTCAGTCTCTCCTCCCAGCCCAGTCTAACACTTGCAAGTATGGGCTTCTATGCTCCAGGGACCTAATACTGTCTGCCTGCCTCAAAAGGGACAGGCAATTTCTGTCCAGGCCTGCTTTCTTAGTTCCAGGAGTCTAAGCTCACCCCTGCCCACTCTTCCAGCAGAGTCAGGACACAGCAGGTGCCTCACCAGCGTAGGCGCTGACACACTTGGAGAGCACAGTGAGCGGCAGCAGGGGGTCCATGAGGCTCAGCAGGCGGGAAGGGGAGGCGGCCGACTGCAGCAATGTGGCCGGGTAGGCTGCCATGATGCCATCTGGCACCCGTACGCCATAGGCTGCTGCCCGGAGGGACACGGTGAAGCAGAGGTTGCCGCCGGCGCTGTCCCCTGCGAGGCAGATGCGCTCCCCTGTTGAGCCTGGTTTTGGAGAGTGGGAATGGGGCCTGGTGAGAGCCTGGCAGGGCTGGGCACTGGGCAGGGAGGGCAGGGAGCAACTCAAGCTCTGGGTTCTGAGAGGTGGGGTGAGGAGCTCCCCAAAGTCTAGAGACTGGTAAACCAAGGCAGGGGTCTGGACCCGTTTGGTGGATCAGGAAGACTTGGGACATGGAGAGATCCAGAGATGAGGAGATTCTGGGATGGGGGGACATCAAAGGCCGGGGAGTGGATGGTCAGAATGCAGTCCCAGGCAGGCCATAGCCTGTTGCACATCTCCCAAGACGGTGGGATTTTAAGAGGGAGTAGAGGTGGAGCAAGTGGGGATGAAGGATGAGACCAGAGGAGGAGGAAGTGGTTGACGGTGGGGGTGGGGTGAGCAGGTGGCTGGAGGGGGAAGGTCGGGGTGAGGACAGGGGCAAGTGGAGGGTGCCTGTGTGTGAGGAGGGGGCTCACCGAGGAGGGCGCAGTGCTTGATGGCCCAGCAGTAGGCATAGAAGCACTCCTCCAGTGCGCGGGGGAAGGGGGCCTCAGGTGCTAGGGAGTAGTCGATGGAGAGGATGGGGACGCCCAGCTCTTGGGCCCAGCTCTTGAGGTAGGGCTCGTGGGATTTGGAGGTCTGGGCCACAAAGCCACCACCATGGATGTGCACCACCAGCGACCGGGAGCGGGGGGCCTGCTGCACGCGGGACCGCAGCTCCAGGTTCCGTGGGCCCTCAGACTTGACCAGGTTGTTGAGTTCCTCACTGTCCTGCAGGGAGGGAGACGAGGTTGGAGAGGGTCTGCCTGGGTCGTGCTCTCTCCCCGGAGCATGTGACTTTTGGGGTGGGTGTGGGGAGGGGCGCCTGCATTTCTCGGCTCTGCGCCTGTTCTGGGCAGAGGCCAGGGCCTTACCTGTCCTTCCCGCAGGTCATAGGAGATAAGCCTGACGAGGACAGGCCCAGGACCCGAGTGGGCCGAGGGGGGTGAGATGGTCACTGTGAGCTTGGGGTCAGAGGTCAGCGGCATGTTAAAGGGCTCGGGTGGCAGGCTGATCAACCGGCTTACTCTCACGTTAGCCGATGCCATGTTGGCCAGAGACTGGGAGAAGGAACAGAAGGGGTGCTGGGGAGGAGGCTGCCTGTGGGGTGCCCCTCAGGCCTCCCTGCTGATCCCCAGCATCCCTCCCTTCCCTCCAGGCCTTGGCGTTCCTGTCTGTGACAGGCTCACCGAGAGCACTTCGATCTCTGTGATGTTCCAGAAGGCCTTCCAGAAGTGCACATCCAGGTTCTGTATGATCCGCTCGAACTCGGCCCCGCGCAGCTCCGGGTCAATGGCAAAACGGCCGCTGGTGAAGAGGGAGCTGGCAGTCACACCTGGGGGCCGGGAGGGGCGTCAGGCAGCTCAGCAGTGGGGTGGGGGACAGGAGGGGTAGTGGGCAGGGCCTGACACTCACCGAGACCCGTCTCGTTGCGCTTGTAGTGCTCCCCGAAGGACACCAACCCAATGGAGATGGTCTGCAGGAAGGGCCGGATGGCGGGCGTGAACTGCGGGGAGAAGGGCAGGGGCATTGCTCAGCAGGCGTTCCCTGAGCCCCTGCCGCGGGCCAGGCACACGGGACCTGGTCATAGAGTAGCATCTTCACTGGATGATGAATGATGCAAAGGAAAAGGCCACCTACACAGGATGATGAGGGGTGGGCAACTGAAGAAGAGAACACAGCAGGTGCCAAAGCTCACAGTGCCAGGAGCCAAAGCTGAGGGCGGGGTGGGCAGAGCTGAGGTCAGAGAAGTGAGAGAGCTGCGACAGGGCTACGGCTGAGCCATGAGATGCAGGGAGGGGTGGCAGAGCTGGGGACGAGGCGCCAAGGGGTGGTTATGGGGTAGGAGGCAAACAGTGGTGGCCCGACAGGGGCAGGGACAGCCCAGGCAGGGAGATGGGTCCACTCAGGTGAGCATGGCAACTATGGGGGAAGGAGGTCTATGTCTAGGAGGGAGCAGGTGGTTCATGAAGGGCGTGATGAGACAGCATCGGGGGGGGGGAGGAGCAAAGCCAAAGGAGGCCGGGGCAAGGGCTGCCAAGGTTCCTCTGTTCGCTCAATACACACGGGCTGAGACCCTGCACTATGCTGGCCACTCGGGCTGCAGCAGGGACACAGCAGTGGGGGTGGCTTTCCTGCCCCTAGCAGCTGGGCCTGCACACAGTGGCTGTCAGGTGGCCCTGCTCCTGGCTGCAGGCCCAGCGGGCCAGAGAGCACAGGGCTCCTGGCCACTGTGGCCGGGAGGCTGGTTCAGGCGGTTCTAGGAGTTCTTTCCCGTAACTTCCATTTCCTGGCCAGTATTTGTGAATTCAGCCCCAGGGAAGGGCAGGCTCCCAGCCTGGGGTGTCAGGACAGCTGGGCCTGCGGGCAGAAGTGGGACAGGAGGCTCTGATTGCTGAAGTGGTCAGGGAGAGGGAGAAGGTGGAATAAGGGGGTGCCAGCCCAGAGGGTGTCACACAGCTCCAGGTGTTCTTGCTGCTGGTGGTGGGGTGTCCCTGGTGCAGCTGGGGTATGAGGGACCAGGTACTGACTCCACACAGGGGCATGCTGGCTTTTCACTCTGAGCTCCTGTTTTCTCCTGGCTCTGAGGGCTGTCTCTCTCTGAGGGTGGTCTGGGAGAAAGTAAGACCAGGAAGGAGAGCGGCCATCACTGCGGGGCTTGGCACTCTCCCCCTGACAGTCCTCACTCTGCAGCTCCCTGGGGAGAGTGGAAAAGCCTCGATCCCAATCTCACAGCTGATGGTTGGCACCCTCCCTCCCAGGACCCCAGAGGGGATGACTCCAGAGGGACAGGGACAAGGCTGCCTCCCCTCCGGGTCTCAAGCTTGACTGACTCCGGGGAAGGGAGCGGCAGGTGAAGTACAGCAGGGAGTGAAGGGCTGGTGTTGAGTTGTGGCAGGTGAAGCCGTCACAGCATTGGCCTTCCATGTTAGAGTGTCAAAGAGCCAGCTCCCTGCTGATGTGCCTGGGAGGGCAGAGGAGATGGTCCAAGGGCTTGGGCCACCCTGCCACTCACATGGGAGACCTGGATGCAGCTGTTGGCTCAGCCCTGGCCAATACAGCCACTGCGGAATGTACTGGCACATGGAAGAGTTATCTCTGTCATTTCCAAACAGATAATTAAAACAAACAAGTACACCAGAGTGAGTGACTTTCCTGGTTGGGGGGGGGTCAGGCAATACAGAGTAGGAGGCATCCTGGCGAGTTAAGATTTCTTACAATATGGAGGATCTGGCCCGTGCTCCAGCCAACTTCCACTTTCCCTGTCTCTCTCCTGAACCCAGGAGTATTGAGCATTGTGGTCACTCTACCATTGGACTAGGCCAGGGGTCCGAGGGGCAGGGGGCAGGGTACTCACCTGAAAGCCCAGGCAGCGGCCATAGAAGCAGCCTTTATGCAGCGTCACGTACTCGCTCAGGAAGTCGGCAGTGAGTCTTTCATCGCCCTCAAAGAAGAGCCCCCCTGGCTGGTTGGTAGCCAGCAGGCGCTGGGCGTAATAGGCCAGGGCACGGAGCTGGGTGAGGGCAGCCAGGTAGGCCTCCAGTTCGGCCAGATTGTGGCCAGTGCGGAAGAAGATGCTGCGGCGGTTGGAAGCCACATAGCGGGATTTGTGTAGCAGGTGCGCCAGGCAGCAGCGGGCTGTGTGCACCAGGCTGCGGAAACCATTGGCCGGTGTCTCTGCATCCAGGTCGAAGATGTGTGCTACGCTGAGCAGGCGGGCTAGGGCCGGCTCCAGCCCCAGCGCCTGCTCCCGCACGCCTGCAAAGACGGCTGACAGTCGGCGTGCTGTCTCCCCAGGGCCCTGGCTGGAGAAGAATGCCATATTGTCTTCTGCCACGGTCACCAATGACTGGGTCATTGTGCGCAGGTCCATGCTGTGTACAAGCCTTGAGGCTGTGGGCAGGTGGGGGGGCGGTTTGTTAGGCAGGGCTGGATCACCCTCACTGGCTAGAGCCCCGAAGTCCAGGCCCCCAGCCCTTCCTCCCTCAGTCCCTGGAGTCGTCCCCGAAGTCCAGGCCCCCAGCACTTTCTCCCTCACACCCAGGGGTTCCTGTTGTCTCCTCTTTGGGACTCAGAACCCTGTTGTCCTTTGTCTTGTCCTCCTTCTGGGGCCCAAAGAGTCCAGACATGCCACTGAACCCACAAGGAATCTGGTTCCCCGGCTCCTGCAGCTCTCCTGTGATCCCATTGTCGGCCAGCGTTTCCTGTTTTCAGGGACCCAAGAGTTCAGGCACCTGTTTGTGCTTACTCTCCTGGGCCCAGGCACCTCTCAGGTTCAAAGCCTGGATCTCAGTCCGCCATCTGCCATCTTTCCTCCTTGGGCCCCAGGTGTCACGTTCTTCCTCTTCAGCCCCAACCCACTCAGTCTGAATCCTAGAACCCTGGTTCCCAACCCCAGCTCTGCTCCTGAACCCAGGGGCTCTTCCTCTAGCTGTCCTGAAATCCTGGTCCCTCAAGTCTGTTTGTAGAACCCCCCTCCAAACTCCAGCTGCACCCCCACCCCCGTTCCTCTGTGAGGTCCCCAAGCCTTAGTCTCACTTCTCTGTCATCTGCATCTCCCGGCCTTCAACCCTGCTCGCTCGGCCGGCGCACACACAGCCTTGCCTCCTGTCCACAGCGGTGGTGCTCATCACCGCGGCCGACCTTGAGCTCAACCCCACGTCAGACCCATGTGAGGGCTCTCTGTGTTTGCGCATTTAGTGCTCTAACTCCGGTGTGACCTAGATGCCTGCATTCAAGTCTATTACTGCTAGCACCCCCAATTCACAGGAGAGGAAACTGAGGCCCAGGCCTCCAGAACCTGCCCTCTCCTATGCTGGGCTCACTAGACCTCAGTGATGCCCTGTGGTTTTCCCTCCAAGATCCTTGTCCTTCTGGGCACCGTAGCTGCTGTCACTCAGGTTTCCACACTCTGTCCCTATCCCCCCTAGGTGGGGGTTACTGCCACCATCCGCCCCAGGGACTCTTCTGTCCCAAAGCTGGGCTCCTGGGTGCCTGGCCCCTGTTCTAGAGGAAGGCGTCTGTCTCCTCTCCCCTCCAGGCCCTGAGGAATGGCCCCCCAGCCTGCCCTGTACTCACCCCTCCCAGGCCTCTGCAGAGCAGGAGCTCCCCAGGCTGGGACTGCTGCTTTGTGGCTGGTGCCAGTGGCAGCCTGGGGCGATAAAGCAGGGGAGGGCGGCCTGCCTGGGGTGTGGCCACTGTGCCACCTCCCACCCAGAAAGGACAGTGAGAGAACCACGTGCTATAAACAGAACAGTGCCCTGTAGCTGAGGCAAAGGCTGGTATCCAGTCAGCCAGACAGTACCACCCCTGCCAAATCCAGAGTCCTTTGAAGCCAGGGGCCCTGGCCCCCAACCCCCTCCTCCCTAGGGACCCAGGAGTCCCAGCCTCTGCCCTCAACAAACAAACTGTCCCCTCTCACCCAGCCAGGCTGTTCTCTCTCTACCCGGAATGGACGCAGGGAGCCAAAGGCCCAGTGATTTTAGCTCCCGCCCCCAGGCTGGTCCTGGCACTGCAGGCCCCAGCTGCTGGGGGGAAGGGGGGTGGTGTGAAGGGGTAGCCTGCCCTGCCTGTCCCTCCTGGGAGGACAGAAGCCGATTAAGGATAGTGCCAAGCTCAGCCAGGGGCCTGAGTCACAGGCCCTCCTGGGGGTTGCTCCCACACTGGGTGCCTGAGACTGCCCCCTCTGCTTTAAGCCCACCCTCACCAAACTGGTGGCTCAGACACCTCACCTGTACTCCTGCTCTGAGCACCTGGCTCTTTCCCACCCTCTCGGTGCTCCCTGGCCACTCCTGCTCTCAGATAGGAATCGCCGTGGTGGAGGCCCATCATTGCCAGGATACTCAGCATCTGTCCTTCCCAGCTTCGTGCACACTTGGTAATTACATTTTTGTTTACGCCTAGTTTGTCTCTCTCTCCTGAGATAGAACCCCTTTGATGAAGCCCTGGAGCTTCTAGGCATGGGGGAGTGGCTCTTTAAGGACGAAGAGCTATGGAAGTATGGGGACCTCCCAGGAGCCGCTGCGCACAACAGACAACCACGGGGAGTGGCAGAGAGGGGCGGCCCTTCCCCTAGGGCTGGCAGACAGACAGATGGACACGGTGAGGTACCGTTTAACCTTGGCAACTGGGAAAGTGAGATCCTGGCCACACCACCTGCTGAGAGGTCCTGGATGAGTGTCACCTCACCGCCCCTGGCCGTCCTGCCCTGCGGGGTGGAGGGCTGCACACGTGGGGCTTGCCCTGTGGGCTGCTGCAGCCTTGCTGCCACGGGGACCAGGCAGGGGCACCTGGCGCCGTCTGACGCACTGCAGTTTACTCTTCATGCTGTCTGCCGCCTAGATTACAGGTTCCCTGATGGTAGGGACATCTGTCGGTTTGCTTCCGCCCTGGGTCTGGTGCACGATCAGCGCCTGGGGAATGGTGACACTGTGATCTCTCACTTTACACACTCAGTCTCTTGTGCTTCCTGTCTGTGGGAGATGATCTGTGTGAAGGCTGTGGACAGTCGAGAGCTCCAACCCAACAGGACCCTTGAGTGAAGCGCTGGGGAAGGGGCTGGGTGATCTGAGGGCCCTGCCCTTTGCCCTGTTCCAGGCAGAGCTCCCTGAGGGCTGGGTCTGATGAAGCTGGGCAGGAGGGGTGTTGAGGTTGCCAGGAGCTTGCTGAGAATCCCAGGCAGAGGGCACTGGGGCAGGGGCAGGCCCACTAGGGCCATGGGTGAGGAGTTGGGCAGAGGTGGGGCCAAGGGAGATTGGGAGGGTAGTGTTTGGCTGACTGGATACCAGCCTTTGCCTTAAACAACTACAGGCCAAAGGGGTCCAGCAAGAATGTTGGCACCTGGGAACTAGGCAGGAGGAAAAAAGGGTGGTGGGAATGAAAGGTTGGGGGCATGGAGGAAAGGTCAGGTCCGGGGCCTGGGATGGGGGACGGGCTTCCGAATGAGGCTGGCAGGGGAGGGCCTCTGAAGCAGGTGGGGACAGCTGACGACCGTTGCTCCTGAGAAGTGTGTACAAACGGGTGACACTGTTCACAGCTGCCGTGCGCCGAGCAGTGTTCTCCTTGTCACCCTGCAACCTGCCAGGCAGGGACCGCTAGTGTCTCCCTGTGGCAGGTACAGACGGGTGGCTGATCACCTTGGGTCACAGAGGCAGCCGGAGGGCAGCTTGAGGACGACCCTGTGGGCTCCTGCTGGTGTCTCCGGTATGTCTGTGTTGTTTGAGCTCTGGTTGGGCCTCAGCTGTGTGGAGTGTGTGTGTGTGAACATTATGGCATGTTCTGACACTTTCGCATTTCTGGGTATGTCTGAGGTCCATGTGGGTGTTTCTTGGCCTGTGATCATAACCACGGATGTTTCTCTCAGCCCGTGGGGCTTGCATGGGCACGTGTTGCCGTTATGTAGGAATACAAGTACACGTGTATATGTATGTACCCACGTGTCCTGATCTGCTTGCATGCGTGTGTGTGTGTTTGTAGAAAACACTTCTCCATATCTGCTCAAGCTAGAGGCCAGGTCATGCTCCTGCCCACACCCCGTCCAGTCTACCACCCAGTCTCGTCCCATGGCCCCTCCAGGAGCCTCTGCCTGCCCACACCCCTGTCCAGTCTACCACCCAGTTCCGTCCCATGGCCCCTCCAGGAGCCTCTGCCTGCCCACACCCCCGTCCAGTCTACCACCCAGTCCCGTCCCATGGCCCCTCCAGGAGCCTCTGCCTGCCCACACCCCCGTCCAGTCTACCACCCAGTCCTGTCCCATGGACCCTCCAGGAGCCTCTGGAACCTGGCCTGCCTCCAGCTCCAGGCTGCAACTGCCTCATCTGGATGATCCTGACCCTCTGCGTGTCTGCTTGTATCCTCTGTAACAAAAGCAGCAGAATCCCGTCACCCATTCCCAACCTTTCAGGACAGGGTCTCCCCAAGCAGGCGCCACTCTCCTGGCTTCCTGTGCCTGCCTCTGTGCTCACTTCAGCCCCAGTCTTACCCAGCCTGCTCTCACCACGCCTGTCTCCTCCCCAGCCCCACCTCCCTCTGCCTCAAGGTCTCTGCTCCTGCTGTCCTCCCTGTTACCCCCGCCCATCCTTGGGTTCAATGTCATCCTCCTGAGAGGTCTCTCTCCCTCGTTTTCCTCTGTTGTATCCGTCACAGCTGACTAGCACAGTCTTAGGGGGATCATTTGGTGCAGCTTTTAAGGACTGCTGCATGGACTGGCTGCATCCCACATCAGAGGGTCTGGGTTCGAGTCCCAGCCCTGCTCACCATTCCAGCTTTGCGCTCAGGTACACCCTGGGAGCTAGTAGTGCTGGCTCAAGTGCTCGGGCCCCTGGCACTCACAGGAGAAACCTGGACGGAGTTCCTGGCGTCTGGATTTGGCCTGGTCTAGCCTTGGCTGTTAAGGCCATTTGGGAGATGTCTTATTTTCTGGCTCTCTGCCTGTCAAATAATTTCTTTGGAGACTTATTTTTATTTGAAAGGCACATTTTTACAGAGAGAAAAAGGAGAGGCAGAGAGAAAGATTTTCTACCTGCTGGTTCACTCCTCAAGTGGCTGCAATGGTCAGGGCTGAGCCCATTTCAAGTGAGGAGCCAACAGCTTCCTCTGTGTCTCCCATGTGGGTGAGGGTCCCAAGGCTTTGCACCCTCCTGTACTGCTTTCCCAGGCCACAAGCAGGGAGCTGAATCCGAAGTGGAACAGAGGGGACACAAACTTGTGTCCCTATGGGATGCTGGCATAACATGCAGAGGGTTAGCCTGTTGTACCATTGCCCTGGCCCCCTCAAATACTTTTAAAATTTAAAAGTTTACAATTATAGTGTTATTTAACAGCCATATCTGCAGCTCAGCTGTGACTGTATCCTGCTCAGCACCAAGCACAGGTCTGCTGAATGGATCAGGGCAACTGGAGCCTCATGCCAGACTCTGGTGCAAAGTGGCTGTGAGACCACCCACTGACTCGGGATGGGCCAGGTGAGCAAGCCAGGTGGCCTCAGGCGTTCAGAGTCATCATCTGGGAAATGGGGTGATCCTACTGGCACGATGAAGCAGATGACAGGGCCTGCTCCAGCTAGCCCCGATGCCCTTGGGGTGGGGGTGGAGTATGATTTACCCACTTGAG